GTTATTCCTCGTGGAATGAGGTTTACCAGGGCTGCCGACAAAGGGCTTTGATGTCGACAGGGGGAACGTCCAGACTAGCGCGCGAGCCGACAAACAGCTGATCAGCTCTTTGTCGGCTCAGCGCAGCAGCCATGTAAATGTAAATGAAGCCGCGATCATTTAAATTGCGGCTTCATTTCCCTTTTCCAAAACAACAAATCTACATGGCTCCGTCGACGGAGCCATGTAGTGCTGCCGACAAAGGGCTTTGATGTCGACAGGGGGAACGTCCAGACTAGCGCGCGAGCCGACAAACAGCTGATCAGCTCTTTGTCGGCTCAGCGCAGCAGCCATGTAAATGTAAATGAAGCCGCGATCATTTAAATTGCGGCTTCATTTCCCTTTTCCAAAACAACAAATCTACATGGCTCCGTCGACGGAGCCATGTAGTCTAGACGTACCCTAGGAGGCCTGGAGGGATACGCATCACGGATCCTTACAGAAGCTACCCTGAAGAATTAATACAGCTGCAGCTGACATCCTTGTGTAACACCAACAGGAGAAAACCAAACCTGGGACCTCTGGAGCATAATGCATGAGCCTCTACTGCTTGAGCTGAAAGCCAGCTGGCTCTCAGCTAAGGCTGCAGAGAAAACTCATTCTTCCTCTCTCTGTAAGTGGTCTAAGTGCAAGCGTGTGAGTTACTCTTGCAAAAACTAACTACAGGTTGGACCTCCCTGGTCCAGCACCCTCAGGACTGGAACTGTCTTGAACCAGGGATTTTGCTGGACCAGGGATGTCAGTGCTCCCCTGCTGGCTGCATCACTCACAGGCTCCAGCACGGACTCTCCACCCTGCTGCCCCAGGGTCTCCCAGGGTTCCCAGTTGGACCCACAGAATATTCTCTGGGTTCCCAGCTGGGGCCACCTGCCCTGCTGCTAAGCATGTCCTGCTGCTGCTGGGGATTTCAGCTGCCCACCTCAACCAGCCCTGCTTCAGCTGGGGGGTTCCCCGGCAAAGGCTGTGTGGTTACCCTGGCCATGATGCCATTGGGGGTTTCTTGAGGTTCCTGGCCAGGGCCGCCCAGCCACCCCACTGAAACCAGGGATTCCCCAACTGGGGCTGGGAGTCCTTGGTCACATAGCCCAGCAGACACTGCGGGTTCCCCAGCCAGGGTGGGAACTCCCAGCCACTGGTCCAGCAACATCTATCCAGTAATTTTCCTCAGTTGGGGATGAGGCTTCTCAGCTACCTTGCTCCATTAATGCCAGGAGTTCTCCATCCAGGGCAGAGAGGGCTTCCCAGATGCCACTTGTCCCAGACAAGTCCCCTGACTTGCTCCTGCCTCTGGGGCTCTTTGGTCCAGCAACATCTATGTCCCTGCTGGATGACAGATGTTACCGGACCAGATAGTCTCAGATATGGGAGGTTCTATCGGTAGCCACAAAATAAGGACTTCCTGTTGCTACTTTCTATAATAAAGGTGTACAATAAATTGAACTCACCAATATTTATGGGTTTGACTGACATTAAAGGTGACTGAAGAAATGTTGCACCATGTATGATGTTTAACCACATAATATAAGTGTAGTTGAGTTTTAGTGAAGGTATGCGACATTCATATTTGTCATACCCAGTACAGTCGCATTGAGTAATCATAAAATTGTCTTTTAGAGAACCTGTAGACATGTCTTCCAATGGCAACTCTGATCTATATTGAAAAAAAAACATTTAAAAAGCATCATGTCCTGGACAATCTTCTGCATACTTTATTAGATATAACCCTTTGGATTAAACAGTAGGCACAGTACTGAAAACAGCAAAGCACAAGAGACAGATCAGGCTGTGTGCATTTTCTACAGCTATACCTCTGTGGGCAGCAAAGGAGCCGAATGAAAGATATTTCTAGGGATTGCTAGACTGGATCAGACCATCTACTCCAGTAACCTGTCTCTGACAGCGGCCAGAAACAACTGCATCAGAGGAAGTTTTAAGAAATCCTCTGTCACTCATGAAGGTCTCATCCCAATTCCCAATATTCAAATGCTGATTAAACATGAAACCTGAGTTTTGATATCCCTCTCCAAATTTACCATCAAGAGTCATAATAATATAAAATCCTGAAATTCAGCCAAAACCAAAATATTACGTGTGCAGCAAGCTGCAGGATTTGGACCAGGTTTAGGATATGTTCAGGGGAGTGACTAGGGATGTTATATTTAGATTAACTAATCGAACCGTGGATGGGATTTCGATTGACTATTCGATTAGCTGATAAGAGTGACTCCGTCCTTGAACTGTAACAACTCTACAGGGGCTCTTGTATATTTCAAAAGCAGAATCACAGCAGAAGCAACGTGAGCGGAGACTGTTTCAGTCTCCGCTCATGCTGTTTCCCACTGTGCTTCTACCTCCCCTGGCTCCCACGGAGATGGTGCTGGGGGAAACTGGCTTTTAAGCCGGCTTCTCCCCCACACCAGTGCCCCCCCCCCTTTTGCTGCCTCTCTCTGATAGAAGCAGCGGGGGAAGCAGGGGCAGGATAGAAGCGACTAGTCGCATTACTAGTCAATTATCCGATAAGCTTATGCTTATCGCTAGTTGCTTACATCCCCAGAACTTACAGCCACTCTAGGCCTCTGAGCAAGATGAGGGGAGGGGACCAGCTCCACTCTTCCAGAAGGGGTGGGGTCTCAGGCGGAAGGGGCAGGGCTGGGGTAGCCAGCCCTTAGCGCTGTCTGGAGTGTGACGGGCTGCCCTTCCAGCCCTTAGAGCCATCACGAGGCTCCAGACCTTTAGAATCATCAGGCTGTGGGACAATTGCCCTCTTTTCCTTTCCTGCCCCCTTCCACCAGGTCCAGGTATGTTTCTAAATTACTTATTAGCCACACCAGATGATAACTGGTGAATTTTGCACATACATAGCATAACAAAATATACTCTAAAAATCTAACTTTATGTGATTACTTTCAAGATGGTGACACTTTGTTTACTTTGAAGACAGAGCATGTTTATTTCTTAGATAATTTGACTTTTTCTTAGCAAAGCAAATCTCATTTAATCCCGGGCATTACTAGTACTATTGCTTTGGATGGGTTTGTGGAAAGTATTTAGTAACTAACTCTTTAGTATTCTGTTTTGTTTCTTTCTAAACTGAAGTACAGCCCAAGAGACTACTTCTGGCTGAACTCTCCAGATTTGTTTGCATGAATTTTTCACATGTTGGAATACTTTTCTTTGGAGATTAGCATACAAATGAAAATAGTCTTAGTACAAAAATCTGCAAAACTATATGGTTTAATAAAACCTTCCAAAATTTTAAATGGATGGAACTCAAACTGCTAACAAGAAATAAAAATGTTTATTTAACAAAAGCAGCTGGAGCAAATTTCCCAGTGATGGAATAGTACATTATGCTTTAAGAATTTTTTTAAGGAATCAGATGTAATATCTAGGGCATACAGAAATGCACAGGCTGAATGATATGAAGTGTGATGCAGCATACAAATGGAGATGTATGCTGTCACACTGCAATTTAGGTCAAAACTCATTCATTTCTTTCTAATATTTGATCCAGACAGGCATTAGATCACACTTCTAAAGCATATACAATACTTTTCTTTGGGTCACTTTCAAGAAATGGTATCAAGCTAAGCCATTTTACAAACTTGAGAAGGTAGTCAATACATCTAATATACTGATCACCACATGCATTTTGCATAAACAGATAATTGGCATTAAAAGTACTTAATTCTGCACTCCAGTTCCAGCAGCATTCCTATTTTAAGTTTAGAAAATCTCTCTGAAACAGAATCTTTGAAAATGGAAGAAACTTTTAAAGCAGGCCAATCCATATGTCCAATTACAGACAGAACGTATAGCTGTCTAATGCAATAATTTTAATGGCACAAATACAGAATTGCCACATTGGACACGAGTCACAAAATCACAGTGAATTATATAGTTCACCAAAAATGAGTGCCTTTCTATGACCAACCTCAAGCCAATGTTCCCTGTAAACTGAGGGCTTGGGTAGCCACTCAAGAGAGATTCAGGTGTTGCCCAGCTGAGTGGCAAAGTGCTTACAGCTGCCCACAGCCAGTGGTTGGAACAAAGATGGACTGTTGCTTTACACATTAAGATTATATACACTTATCCAGAAGAAGATGAGGCGCAGACCAGTTGAAAATTCCTAGATGAAAATAAAGGGGGGGGAGAGGGAAATGGGTGAGGTTATGCTAAAGGACTACTCCAGAACACTAATCAGGAGAGGAAGGTGGATGAAGCATTGCTAGAACAGAAATATCCAAAAAACACAATGTGGTTGTAATGGGGACACTGTAATAACTTAGATATCTGCTGGAAAAGTTATACTGCAAAAGCTCAAGATGTCCTGTTAATTCTTGCAATTTACTGGGGACCAATTTCTTGCTCCAGAAGGTGGAGGAACTTCAGACTGGCTCTGGGCAAGAGAGAGGAATTGGTTCTGAAGCTATAGATTAAAGGCAATTTGGGTGAAAGTGACCTTGAAGTGATGATTTCATGATTCTAAAGAAAAGGAAAGAGAACAGTAGAAGAAGAACAATGAACTTCACAAAAGCAGACTTTCACAACCAGAGAACTGGTTAGATAAAGTCTCATGGGAAGAAAATCCAAGAGAAAAAGAAGTTCAGGAGAGCTGTCAGAGTCTCAATATTAAAGGTACAATAGCAAGCTACCCTGATGTGAAGAAAAGACAGGTAGAAAAACAAGAGGTCATTTAGCTCTATTAGAGTGCTTTAATGAACTGAAAAAAATAAAAAAATAATTCTACAAAGGGTGAAACCATGGGCAAATTCTTAGGGACAAGTACAAAAGAACAGCACAAGAATGCAGGTACAAAAACAGAAAAGCTAAGGTACAAAATGAGTTGAACCTAGCAAGGGAACTGAACTGGAGAGAGTTGAGAGAGCAACAAAAATAAGAAAAAGTTTAGAAACGTTGATTGCTAAGGAAAAATCAGGTGGGTTAAGACTTGAATGGATGGGAGAAGACTAACAGGAAACTTAGTGAGTCTTGAAACCCATAAAGACGACAGTGATAAATATTCTCCATAGCCACAAGTAGTAATCGGCTCAGTCCACAGCAAGGGAGATTTAGGTTAGATATTAAAGAAAATCTTTCCAACTATGCAAATAGTTAACATCTGGACTAGGCTTCTATGGGAGGTAGTGGAATCCCGGTGATTGGACGTTTTCAAGAACAAGTGAGACAAACACCTATCTGGGCTGATCTAGATTTCCTTGGTTCTGCTTCCACACAGGAGAGCTGGACTAGATGACTTTTCCAGCTCACTCCCAGCTTGCCATTTTTATGGCTCTCAAACTACTGGATGAAATAATCCCCTCCTTACTAGGATATTATGCTATAGAAGATATGGTGGCTATCGGACAACGACATCATCTCCATCTTGGCAGCCCTCTTGTTACTAGTATCTTTCCTGCAGTATATTTCAGAGTCCTATTTGACTGCAGTCTCTTCTTCAAACCTGCTCTGTCATGGGCAGCACTTTCTATTCATAGCTACTTTAGATGAAGTCTATAATATTTGGGGGTGGGAGGGTGAATCAAAAATGTTTTTTAAAGGCTGAAACTCTTGAGCTGTCAAAAGACCATATGTGAACTATTGAGGAGACAATAACAAAACAAGATCATTGTTTTCATTGCTTTTATGGCCTAAATATCAGAATATTGGCACTTGTAACTGAATTGAGGCCTCCCAGAGAGAAACAAATGCCATGAAAGCATACTTTTAGAACTGGGACTGTTTTCAAACTATTCTGGCCTGCATGTGAAAGGAATCAGTGAGCCAACAAGGAAAACTACCCCTTTAACAAAATATGAAATTAAGAAATCAACTATTCCTTTGGAACATCAGGTCTCACTACAGAAACTATAATTTACCTTCACTCCTGGGGGGAAAAACTGACCACCACGTGATGAATGTTAAATAAGTTTAGAATGGTAAAAAGCAACAACAACAACAAAAGGTACTACAGATAATCTTTGGAGAGGAAAATTAACACATTAGCAGCAGGTCATTAATTTGGAGATGTGTAAATCAATTTCTCAGGGAGTCTGGAGTAGAAAATTGGTAAGTTTCTTTCAAGGTAATGATTGTACAGACTAATGCTACCACTGCATTTCTGATCACAAATACTACTATACGATGACAAAGTCATAGGACCTTTATTGGTATTTTAGGATATCCTTACAAATGGGAAGCGTCATATATTTTATACTTACAGAACATACAAAAGATTAATCTTGAATTCTCCATTCAAATATGACTTCTTGTTAGACAATTTCAGGACACAAACTAACAGTTCCAGGTTTCCGTTAGTCCAACATTGAATGTCCCAGCTTAAATCTATATTTAAAAGAGGTAAACATTTTCTAAACCATACTGAAACCAAAGACATTTAAAGAAATAAAATTTATCTGTAAGTCTTATGCTCTAGCACATATGCTACACTAAAATGAAAAACCAGGACATTTCAAAAATAATACTCTCTCATAACTGTATTGGGTCCGAACCAGGCAAATCATGTGCATTATATTACTTATGTGACTAGTCCTTTGGAATTTCGGGCTATTTGTGTGAGTGAGTAAGCAATGTCTGCAAGATTAGGGCTTTAGGCCCTGATTTTTAAAAGATATGTGTTGCTGCATTCAGCATTGCAATGCCCAACTGATTTAGGAGCCTAAATATATTTCCAAATGGTTTTAGCACTTAGCAAAATCATATTGACAGTTGTTTCCTAAGTGCCTAAATCCTTCTGAGAAAAGATTTAGGTTCCTAAATATCTTAGCAGTTGCATTTAAGATGTTGCCACGTTAAATACTGCATTTAAAAATTAATGATCCGCCAGGTAGCCTCTTACTCCAAAGAATGTACAGAACAGGACATAAAATTAACATATTATAATCACAAAAAATAGTTTAAACAAATTTTCTAATGTGCAGCTAGTGACAATTTTTAGCAGGGGGGTAGGAGATGAATGGACATGTTAAGTTTCTAATATTATTTTTAATCTTTTTGCTACCATTCAGGAACAACACCTCTTTGCAGCATTAGAAATCAATACAATAATTCTGACCATTTCTTGAAAAGAAGACCTGATCAGAGGCAGTGCTGAAAATACAGGATAAAATCTTGACCTTGCTTATCTCAATTGGACTTTCAGCATTACCTTTCCCACTACGTAAATTGTGCACGAGGGCAAGAGGAATAAACAACCATCTTTCAAATGACAGGATGCAAGTATAGACACAGTGGATGATAACATACCGTGGACCTGAAGGCAGGGCAAGATTCACTTTCTCAAGCTAAAAATCCATTCAAAATGTCTATGTCCTTATCTACATTTTATTCAGCATGCCTCTGCAGACCCAGTTCTATCATGACACTCACAAGAAGTTGGCCAACTAGTAAGTAAGTGCTAAAAGTAAGGGACAACTGAGGACAGTCATCTATATGACTAACAAAATGGATTTATATCATCAACACGTGACCATTCACCACTTCTATCTTTTGTCTGCCTTTCTACTTGGCACTCTTCACTCTCTCCAGGGCAAGAAATTTGCCTTCATTTAAGTTTGTACAGTGACCAGTACAATCCAGGCACAAATGGAAACAAGTGATAACAATAAGAAAATATTCAAAACCCAAAGAAAACACAATGTCCATTATTGACTCACTTTAAAGAGCTACACTAGAAACCTACTTGTTTGCTGAGGTGCTAAGATATTTACTTCTGAGGAAATAAATGTCTTTGTTTCAATGCCTGCTGTGTACAAAGAACAATCTGAGTGTGTTTCATTCCATAGGCAACAGAGAAAACTCTCTTCAGCCACCTGCACCAGAGAATTGGTTTCAGCAGTTCCATGCTCTCCAGGTGACCCAGGACTGCTCTCCACAACCCCAGAAGTCTCATTTGGTGACATGCAAGGGAACATAAAGCTTGATGCTGGAATCTGATGTACCATACAGTGAGAAACTGCCAGCTGAATAAAATCTGGAAATACAAAGATATAAAGAAGAAAATGAGTTACGCTACTTGCAACTATGAAAATAAACTAGCTGCTGTTCCAAGGAAACAAAGGTGCTTAAAAATATTAGACAAGAATCTCCAAGTGCCAGTCTCCTCTGAATTAGCATAGATTTATTCAATTAGGCTTCCAGATCTCACCCATATGCCTCATACCTGAATAAAGTTACCCTTGCTCATTTTTTAGAATTACTGCATATAACATCACATTAGAAAAAAACAAAAACAAAGATAGGCCAACACGAGAAAAATCTATAGTTGTCTCCTGGTGTAAACTGCTGCAAATTAATTAGAATTAACACATTAAACAGGGATTGAAGTCAAAGGTGATGCATCAATTTAGGAGAAAATTTAGCCCTAAAGCTGAACACACACAAACTGTGAGGTCTGAAAATCCAGACTTGGGTCCACATTTTGAAGCTATCTTCTAAATTTTTAGAACCTGGATATGCCCAATTTTGGGGTGTTCATAAACTGAATTTTAATATTGTGGCTTAACTCTCTGTTAACTAATAATATATGTAGAAATATTTTGTCCTTGCTAACGAATATCATCATGTGAGTACAGAAACTGCATTAAAAATGTTATTTGTAGCATTTTCTAAAGACATGCAAAAGAAATTCTAGTGTTTATAATAATGTAAAAACCTACAGTGATAATATGTGAAATCCTGAATCAGGGTTGTCAACCAGCAGTAAATTCACAGATAGTCCATAAAAAACGTGTGAAAATTGGACCTGTGCATAGAATCTGTAAAATCATGTAGATACTGTCTCCCCATTTCACAGAGCTGTCATGTGGTCAGGGCTCCTGGGGACGTAGAGTGACGTGATGCCATCACTTTGTCATCCCGTAGGAAAAGGTTTTTTTAATATATAGAGAGAGATATAAACTGTCAAGTCCTATGCAGGAAGGATTATTGGCTGTCAAAAAACATTATTAATACAAAGTTTGACAGTGTGACTGTTGCGATGTTTGATCACAAACTGCAGAACTTGGAGGATGCTGATGTGGCTAGTAGGCAAGTTAAACTAGCATAATAACTTTTCAATGTGTTTATTCATACATCACAACAGCCTACTATTCAGTTTTGTCCTTTTGAGCCATCTTTACATTATATAAGAATGTCCATAAAAAGTTTGGTTGTCCATAATTCTTTTCTATACTTTCCATAAAAACAGTTTTCTGCAGTTGGCAGCCTTGTCCTGGCTACACAGAAGTAATTGAAAGTTGTGTCAAGGGGCTTCAATGACGCCAAGATTTCATTTAAAATTATCAGATGTCTTTTCTTTCAGGTTTTGTTCATTGTAATAGTTTTTAAATGCTGCCACCATACACTTGTTTGTGATTTTACAAGACACTATTTACAATTGTTAAATCCATGTTTAATGTGTTTTACAAAAATGGCCAAGTAGATAAACAGTCCCAAAAGACTGATTTTATAGAAAATAATATCTAGTAAAAGGTGGTATTTTCTATTAAGGTTAGATGCCTTGAAAATAAAAACTGTATATAATGTAGGAACACATTTGTTATATTACATGGCTTCTGTTGGTAAATCAGAGACTGAAGTCTGCTAATAATACTTCTGATAAAGATAAATATGCCTCTTTGAATTAAAAAAAGCTTTAGTTATTGAAATTCATGTAACTGGCTTACAGGTATCCTTGTTTTTAGTGTAACATGCAGGAAATATTTACAGTTTATTACATAAAAATGTCTTGAGCCTAAACATCTTGTAAATGGATCCCACAATAACAAAAACAAGAGAGTATTTGTCTTTTGTCTTCACAAGCACAATCTGCTAGAATATTTACATAAACTGAATAGTAAACCACTGCAAAGTGAAAAATAGGTTTCTAGGTAAATTTATGCAAAAGTGACAAGGAGTCCTGTGGCATCTCATAGACTAAAAGATTTATTGGAGCACAAGCTTTCATGGGCAAAGACCCACTTCGTCAGATGCACGGCTACCCCTCTGATAGGTAAATTCATGTTATTCACATCAGTATCTGAAGTGTTCAGTTTCTTTGGATATACATATTTTATGATCAGCAGTACCCATAATGGTGTGTATTTTCTCTTGTTTAACAAGGCAGAGTCTGTGCCTTGTCAAACATCAGTGTCATTAAGTTCCCTGACTCCATGTAGAAAATTCAGTTAACTGAACAGAATATTAGTGCATTATCCATGATGCAAAAACAAATTGAGGGACATGACTATCTACGGGTCAGGACATACAACTAATATGCTGCCCATTTTACAGCTGGCACTGAAAGAGGATTTCAGTTTGTCTTATAGATATAGATATAGATATAGATATAGATATAGATATAGATATAGATATATATTAATTTTGAAGGACAAATCACACTGCAGAATCTCACAGGACAAACCAACCAAATCCCATCAGATCAATGTGCATGCCATTGCTACAATACCTTTTCAAGAAAGGTAAATGAAATGAATAAGCTACAATAAAATTGTAATAGTATTACTGAGCACAGGCTTGTGTATTTTATATTCCTCAATAAACACATGCTTTTTTCTATAAATCAGTAGACAGTAAGAATATTCACTTGTCACCGATATAGGAATTTATCTAGAGAACAGGTCTAGTATAAGAAGCAACAGTACAAGTAGAAATCTGCTGACCAGTGACTAGAGACAAACAACTCTATCTCCCAATTCAAGTCCCCTGAGCGCTCTAGTTGCCCAATTAAAAGACATTTCTATAAATGCAGGTAATTTTAAGATATGAATTAAATTGGGACAATGTAATGACCCATTTGATATTGAACAAATAAAGACATGAAAAAGCCTAAGAAAACCTGCTGCAAAGATTGGAGAGAAACAACTTTTGAAACAACATAGTGCATTGGATTTAAATATCTACTTTATCTTTCATCAACATCTTGGGAAATTTAAAAGGACAATTTGCCAACTAAACTAAAGTTACAAGTGAAATGAAATCTGTTCTACAGCATATACCAATATTAATGTGCATGAGAAAATTCATGCGCATCTGATTTAATCTACTCTGTTTATGTCTTCTACATCAGAAAGGAAAAATGAAGTCCTCATATTTGAGCTATTATATTTACCATAAACTGATCACTCATTCCAATGATTCTGTATATGAAGTAGGGGGATATGTTTTTGCACTAGACCAAACCAACCAACTTCATGTGAAAGCCTCACTCCATTGAAGTCAATATGAGTTCTGTTCTGACTTCAGCGGGGTCCAGATTGCCCATAAAATTCTTATCTGTATGAATGCTAGTTATGGGAGCTGCATTAGTTTCTCTTGACTAACTATAATAAATGTATTACAGTTGCAGGTTTGTCAATCATTTTTTTATCAAAACTAGCTAATTAGATATTGATCAGCTATCACTTGCATTGTTATTTTCATCAGAAAGTTATTGTCCAGTCTGTAAGGTACTGTGCATCAAATGTTTCCATTGGAAATGAGGGCATTCAGCATCTTGCAGAATCAAGTTTTTACTTTGTCAAAGTCAATAGCTACAGAATATGTTCAGAAAAACCCACATTTTTAGTACAACTTACCCAAGTGCAGAAACACAGTCAAAAGTTTATGCAAATACATCTTGTTCTGAAAAAAACAACCAAAATGTAATAAATTAAGAAACAATGGAAGAGATTGTTTCCATTTCAGAAGTACATCTATTATTCTGTTTGATCTTGGCATCCTTTAAAAGCCTATTCTTTAAATGTTGTTAACCTATGAAAATATAGATTCCTTAAACATACCATGGCTCTGTATAATTCTTAAAATTAAAAATAATGGTGTGCTTTATTAATTTGATGTTTGCTCTTTTACAGGAAGGAAGACAGAACAGACAGCATCACAGCAGAAAAGAAACACTGCTTAGAGTATTGATTAAATATCAAACAGGCAATCTCTCACCATTACACTTAGGAAGCGCTCTTCATTCCTTATGCATTTCCTGACTCACAAGCAAATTATTTCCTATTCTTCCCCTTCAAGATATTGTGAATCTGCACAGTTAAAATGACAGAGATAGCAATTTCCAATATACAGCACACGTTTGATCCCCATGATTTCTGTAATTCGTTTTCAGTCAGAAAGAAGTCATTTAAACAGTGGAAAGTTAAGCACGACAATTAAAACATAATTGCTTAGTACAATTTCAGATTTTTGCCATGTAGTCTCTCAAATTCTACTCACACCCAATTACAAAAGATGTTTGTAATTATGATCAATGTATCTACAATATCTGCAGAGGTATGAATTATTCAGCAGAGGTCTTGGGTTTTGAGTTTTACATTCATACAACTTGTCTGTAGGGCTGAGCTAATAATTGACCTTTTAGTTCAGCAACTGAACTAAAAAATCTGAAGGCAATGGGCTTGTTTCAAACTAAAATTGAGATTCTCAATGAAACAGAAAGGAGAGAGAGAGAGAGAGAGAGAGAGAGATTGCATTCAACAACCCATTTCAAATATCATTTCAAAATGGTTTATTTTGTCATTTTCAAAATGAACTTCAACCATTCTTTCTTGTTTCCAGGCTTCTTTCAGCTGCAGTGTCTTGCTACATTCAGCCTGAATTGGTGAACAGTTTCAGTGGCTCATCAAAAGCATTTTTCAGTAAGTTTACTATTCAGTCCTGAATTTTCTCCCAACAAAATTCACCCTCCTGTGCTTGATCATACTTTCCCTCATACTGGACTGAGAACCCTACCTGCAATGGAATCTATAAACCCAGGATCAGAAATCATGATTTGGGCACGTCCCCAAAGACATCCATAACCACTATATACTACAGAGCAAAACCTCATTCTGAATCTGAATCCTTCCCATGCCATCAGGTGTTGCTTACGGCATAAACAAGGCTCCCATAGGGGATCTCGTTATCTAGGGGCCTTATAACCATGACTACATGGAGCCACTAGTAATTCATTTCCTGCATAAAGCAGGATACTGAGAAGTGCACCGACCACAGGGACTAGTGCAACCAATCTGCTGCCAAATTTGTGGCCTGAAGAGAGGGAACCTGCATGTGGGAAGAGAAGAGAGCAGAATTCCTTCCCAATTCCTACAAACCTCCAGTGCACTGCTTGGCAAGGATACTCAAAAGGTCTGGGACTCAAACAAGAATTCTAAATAGCAGCAATGCTACAGAAAGTTATCTCCCAATATGGAACATAAAACTTTATTATAATAAAGAAACCAGTATTCTTGCTAAAGCTAGCACTGGTCTTCTTTGACCTCACTGTGGAGCTTCTCGGTAAAACTTCCTGCAGCCGCTACTACCTCCTGTCTACCTGTTACAGACTTAAAGACATGTCACATTTGCATATTTTTCCAACCTTTTATCCTATGTAATCAACAAACCCTCAATCTTCAACAGGAGTTCAATTCTATAGACTAAATTACAGATACAAATGAGTCGCTGGCTTTGTCAGTCATCCCAGTCAGGTCATCTGCTGACTTTGAAAAGATTTAGTCCAATTAATTTTACTTGGAATATCAAATTCCCGAAAGAAGTAAACTCCAACACAACAGATTCAGAACAAGTCAACGGGATTATCTCCCTTCATTAAGGCTATGGTGCCAGTACTCTTCCCAGTAAGGGCATTTCTTCTATACTGTATTACATAGAGTTATGGTTTGCAGATACAGACAAGAGCTAAAGACGTACAATTTAAAACTGGATGAAGGAAAAATTAAAGTACATTTTGGGCTACATTCCAAGATCTCTTAGATTTACTATTTCACTGCCTCTACTCAGTATGAAGATTTACTCTTCTGGTTGGCAGTGTTTTTCTAATCTGTCAAACCATAAGCAGCTGAGCTGGGTTTACTCTGCAGAGCTATAGGGGAAATCCCATATCAGTCAGAGTTAACACAGGGTCATATTAACATAGAACACATAACTACCAACACTTCTCCCTCCAGTAGTCCATTCTGTAATAGATGGACACGAAGTCTGGAAGTAATAAACAAATTACAGCTCTTGCTCTAAATGTGTCCAGAATTACCATAGACCTATAATGAAAATTAACCATTCTTTTCTGTATTTCTAACAGACAAAATTGGGAGGTGATGTTTTACATGACAGAACCACTGACTACTACTAATATTACACAATGATTATATAGGTTGAACCTCCCTGGTCCAGCATCCGCAGGACCTGAGTGGTGCTAGATGAGGGTTAGTAGACCACCTGATTTTCAGTGTGAAAATTTAGCTCCCAATGCACAGAAAACATACTTTCAGAAATCAGATCCAGGCATGGTTCAGTTGGGCTGTGGGAGGAGGGGGCAGCACAGGAGCCGGTGGGTGGCTCAGTTGGAGTACAAGGGGGTCCCGGGAACTGGCATGCAGCTCAGTTGGGCTGCGGGGGGGGAGCCAGGAAATCAGACCTGTACTGCACTGAAGTACACTGATTATTGTTACTCTCCATATTTTTTAGATATTATCACAATTGTGCTATAGAATTATCTCACCTTGACTCTGGCATATATCTTCATTGCCTGGAAGGAAATCCCACAGCCAAGAGAACAGGTCTTAACCCAAGTCCTTAGAGCTTTCCCTTGAGAACTGTCAGTCACAGAGTTCCCATCAATAACTGCCATAGAGAAAAGACTGTGACTTAAGTTTCAGAGCTATCCCATAAAAGGGCTTTAAGATCAGTGCCACTATTTTGGGTTGCATTCAGTTCTCATGGTACTACTTCAAAGTAGATCATGGTGCATCAGTGAGGTATGTACTCTCATTTGTCCTTGTCAGTACATAGACCACACCTTGATGTACTAGGTGCAGCTTCCATGATGCTTTCACTGTAAAACCTAAGGAGGCTGAAGGTGGTCCCTACAAGTAGATCTATAACCAAGAAGAAGTATCATACTTGTCTGGTTAGGAAGATGGCAAAGGAATTTCTGGTCACTGCTTCCATGTGAGTAAGTAGTAATAAATCAAATAGAACTTGGACATCAGGTATTAATATGCCCACCAGTGGACAGATGCCCCGGATAGAAAATGAGGTCACTGCTACAGTGAGTTCCTTAGAATGCTTGTTTTTCCTACTGCCATCACATCTGTCTAATGTGGATTTAGTTGGGGCAGCTTCTTTTTATCTTTGTTCCAATAACATTCAGAAACTGGAAAACAGTCCCATACACATTTGTAAAGCAAACCAAAGTTAGAGGTCATCTGCACATTCACTGAACCTCTCCACAGCTCTGATATAGGGTAGGAAAAAAGCACCAACAGGACTAAGCCCTTTGAGACTTCATAGAGGGGCACCCTTAGGGTAAGGTGGCAGCTGCTGCTCCTGTTGTGTTGGATTGGGCTCTGAGTTTAGTGCCTTTTACCCCACAAAAGTGTGAACAATGACTTTAAAAAAAATGAGTTAAGGGAGAAAATGCAAGTCTTCTAACAATAGTTGCAGAAAATAGGAAGCAAAATATAAGCACTCTGGGATAAGTAGGTTTGTTGCTTCCTTACTTCTAAATGAAGAGCATTTTTAGGTTAATGCCACAGTCCCGAAGTTGTATTTTTTATTGCAGGGGTGGGAAACCTTTTTTGGGTCAGGGACCACCGACCCACAGAAAAAATCAGTCAGGGGCCACACACAAAAAGCCCTCACTGATGTGGGGCCCAACTGAGAAGCAGAAAGACACTCTTCATATTCCCCTCAAACACCAGAGCCTGGGGGGCCCAGCGTAGTAGATTTTGTGTTCTCCAGTCTCATGGTGGGGCAGCACAGAGGCTGGAGCACCATCACAGGCTCCCCAATGCAGGGGGGGCAAGGTGGAGCCTTGGGGGCTGTATTCAGGCAAGCCAGGGCCACATCTGGCCCTTGAGCGTGAGGTTTCCCACCCTTGTTTATTGTCTCGTACATAATTCTAATCACAGTGGGGGTGGGGAGAGAAAGCTGGGTGAAATCAAAGAAAGGATGTGGACAAATTCGAGAAAATCCAGTGAAAGGCAACAAAAATGATTAGAGGGCTGGGATGCATGACTTATGGAAAGAAGCTGAGGGATTTGGGCTTATTTAGTCTTCAGAGAGAAAAGAGTGAGGGTGGATTTGATAGCAGCCTTCAACTACCTGAAAGGAGAGAGGAGGTTCCAAAGAGGTTGGAGCTAGCCTGGTCTTAAGTAGCAGTGAGGGAAGTCTAGGTTGGATATTAGGAAAAACTATTTACTAGGAGGGAGGTGAAGCACTGCAATGGGTTACACCTAGGGAGCTGGTGGAACCAAGGCCAGGTTGGGAGGGATAATTTAGTTGTGTTGGTCCTACTTTGAGCAGAGGGTTGGATTAGATGACCTCCTAAGGTTCTCTTCCTTCCCTAACCTTCTATGATTCTACAGTTCTTCCGTGATGTGAACAATTATAGCAAGGACAAATACTAGAAGTCACTTATCTCCAAGAGTTAAAGCACCACCAGATATTGCAGAAACTGTACTGAGTATTATCACAAAGGTGGTGTATGCATTCTTATTCTAACTACCTGTTGTTTCGATCCTTTTTCAACCTGAAATTTTCCTGTCTTGGCCTATGTCCAAAAAAATTAGTTGGCATTCAGGCTTTATAAAGTGCAATGTTCTATGACTTGCCACAGT